AGAGAAAGCACATGCCAGAAGGAATGGATAATAATCCTTTCTCCTTTATTCACCTCTTAAAATGTGGCCATGCACGCACACACACTCAGCATAATTTTTACAGTTGTGTCCGGGACTTGAACTGCACAGTTAGCCATGTGGGATCCGGCACCCTTAACCACCATGCCATGGGCTAACTCTTCCTGGCATGTTTTTCAAGCATCCAAGGCTGGGATTTGAACCATAGTTAGCCATGTGGGATATTAAGTTATGGGGCCAGCCATATACATTTTTTAAATTAAGTTTATTTACTCTTTTTATGGAAAAAAAGACAGAGAGAGAAATAGAATTAAGAAAAAAAAAGATTATCCCAGCAAGGCTCAACACCTTTATTCACCCACCAGCTTCAACCCATCCAAGGTTATGAGCACACTTACAGGGGGTCTCTAGATAGAAACTCAAACTTTCCCATGAGGTCAGCCTTGCAAAGTGTCATATTTTATTGCTGCACCATCATATTGCCCCACATTTGTTAACTTTCATCTTTTAAAAAATAGCCATTGAGACCTTGTGATGGTGTTGATTTACATGTTTCTGGCAATTAGCGATATTGAGCCATTCTTCACATATTAGACATTTGTATGTGTTCCTTTGAGAAATGTATCTACATGTCCTCAGTTCATTTTGTAATCAGGTTATGTATGTATGTATTTTGGTTTTGGATTCATTGAGTTTGTTATATATTCTGAACAATAATCTGAATATTAACTGAATTTTTTTTTGCCTATTCTGCATGCTGCTTGTATATACTGTTAATTTTTTTTATTTGCCTTGTAGAATTATTTCAGTTTGATATAATCTCATTTGACTATATTTGTTTTTATTACCTCTGATTTTGAGGACTTACCCAACAAAACTTCACAGACCCATATCTTGAATTATTTTCCCTGTTCTCTTCTACTAGCTTTATACGTTTTTATTTGAATAGTAATACATTTTTTTGCCTTAATTTCTTTTTACATTTTTAATTTACTTTTCTCATCTGGATACCTAGTTTTCTTGGCAAACATTTATTAAAGATAATGTTCTTTCTTTCCCAATCTTCTTGATATATTTGCTGAAATTTAGGTGAATAAAAGCAAATGTTGGGGGCTCCGCCCCGCGCACTGTGCGCTGTTCGGCCAGGCCCCCTCTGGGGCCCCCACGCACAGCGCGCCGTTCGGCCGGGCCCCCTCAGGGGCTCACGCAGCCGGGGCTCTGCCTCATGTGCCACACGCCGTTTGGCTGGACCCCCCTCCGGGGCCCCGACCCCCCCTGCCTCTCCGGCGCTGGATGGCCCGGCTTGCACCTGCGAGTGGCCACCGGGCCTGCGCGTGGCCCCTGGGCCTGCGTGTGGCCCCTGGGCCTGCGCATGGCTGCTGGCCGTGGGCGGCAAACTGAGGCCGAAAACAAGGATGAAGAACTTGCAACTGTAAGCAGCAGAAAAAAAAAAAAAAATTTACCTCTCTTAA